TTTTTCTTATCCAAGCTAGTCCTTTAGAGATCAGCTAGCAGTCATAAGTTAAGATTAGGACCAAGAAAGGCAATACTCTTTCTAAGAAGCGTAGAGCTGAAAAGAAGAAGATGAAGAGAGAAGCCACTAACGCCGCCGCAGCCACTGCCGCCGCAGAAGCAACCGCCGCCGCTGCTGATGTGTTTAATCGCGCTGTAACCGAAGTACTTGCCTCCGACAATAATAGTCAACAGGACAATGCTTCAGATAAGGATGCAGCTACTCCGATTAAGTAGACTACTCCTTCTGACAGAGCCTGAGGGCCAACTATTGCCTCAACTTCAAAGCTTGCATTTACGGAGCCAAGACGTGAGACAAGGGACACGTTTCAAGACGCCCCAACCAATTCTTCTGACGAAACTTAGGAAGAAAAGTTCCCAATTATAAGGGAGTCTCCAATTATAGGGGACAAGGACAAATCTCAAAAGGAACCTGTAACGGAACCAGAAGAGGAGGCGAGCTCAAGTGGCAAACCCGAATCTACGTCCAAGACTACTAAGCCAACGCGCATAAGTAAGTTAATTACTGAAAACACTGATCTTAAGAATCAACTAGCCACCCTTATGAAAGACTTGACTGTTGAACATGTAGATCGATTGTATAGATCAGGAAAACATACACAGCACTTACGCGAGCATGTTTCTCCGGGCATTACTGAAGCCCTCAGGAAATTCAATACCGGTTCAGAGGTGCCCCTTTCGGGTTACACTCTTTACCGGCATTCTTCCAACAAATAATGAAAGAAATGTTTGCAGACATGCCTAACGTGCAAGTCTATATCGATGACATACTCAACTTTTCTAAGACTAAGAGCGAACACGCCGCATTAGTCAGACGAGTCTTTAAGAGACTCAACGAGCAGAACTTCAAGATTAACGAGAAGAAATGCCACTTCGCAATGAGCGAAATACAGCTCTTAGGCTACCATATATCTGGGGGAAAGGTATTAAAATCGACCCCGGTAAGGTAGCACACCTGTTGGATTGGCGAACACCAACTACAGGAAGAGATGTTAACAGCATGTGTGGGTTTGTAAACTTCTTCTCAGATGGAGTACCACACTTAGCTGGCTACCTTAAATCTTTTGGACATGTCATAAAGGCCAACTAGGAGACTTGTGGACTAAAGAGTGTGATGACGCATTTAAAGCGCTCAAATACGCAGTCCAACAAGCCTAAGTTGTACAAGGACCAGTCGATGGCATGCCGTTTGAAATAGCAACGGACGCCTCCGACTTAGCCTTATGAGGAGTATTATATCAGGTTATAAATGACAAACCTAGATATATACAATTCTTTAGTCGAGCAATGAAAGCTTCAAAGTTGAATTATCCAACTGTTAAACAAGAGCTATTAGCCATAGTGGCAGCTTTAACACACTTCCGAGATTACTTATACGGAACAGCATTTATGCTGATGTGTGATCAGAAATCTCTTCAATATATGAAAGAGATGAAACCCGACTCACAATTACTGAGTCGCTGGCATGATACAATATCAAAGTTTCATTTGATATAAAACATCTGCCGGGAATACATAACCATTTACCGGATATGTTATCACGCTCTGTACGGGACTTTAATAAATCCGTACGTGAGTTACTAGCCACTGACTGGAAGTGTAATCTCAGGTGGTTTGAACTGGCGCAAAAGATATTTGGGCCACATACTATAGATATGTTTGCTGCACATCATAATGCACAACTATTGAATTACAGGACTTTAAATCATCCTTTGGGAGAAGTCTTTCAGATAGACCTCTCCCAACATAATGCGTGGGCCAATCCACCATGGCAGTGAAAGTGCCCAGCTATTAAATTATGTTCATATACACGAAGCTACCATCACGTTGTGTTGCCCTTTACGGAGTAAAGATCCATGGCTCAATAAATTGATCAGCATGATACAATGCGAGCCAATATATTGAGATAGGAAAGTAGATACTTTCCTATATCAGAGTACCCGAGCCGTCTAGAAGACGCCTTGGAGACATCGCATAGGTCTTATTGGAACAACCAAAGGTGCCCCTTTTGAGACCTTCCTTATCAAGGTCAAAGAATCAGAGATTCTACTCTCTACCCAATTGAACGTTAAGCAGTTCAAAGGCAACACAGCATTTAACGTCTGTGCACAAGAAATACAATCTACTAATGACACTGTTAAGAAGCGTCAGTCTCTAGCTAGGACTCTGTTTAATAACATAAAGTCCAAGCCCGAGGTCTTTCAAACCTTATTTTTAAAAAGATCAATGAAAGACAATCCTGAAGCATATACACATATAATGCGACTATTTAATAAGTCAGGTGTATCTAAAGCACATGAGCACACTTATGACGCTCATGTAAAAGCAGCACATGAATCTGGAAACACTACAGACTTTGAGACCACGCAATTGGATTCTCAACACCTTACCTTTATTTTGGAAGAGCAGAATGGTAAAAACATTCTTGCTTGGCTGAAGCAAAATCATAAGCTGAAGCACCAGAACGTAGTAGACGCACTTAAAGATGCTAGGCGACATGGGATCGCGCACCATAAGCTGGCAACTTTAGTTGACAGAGTATATCAATCATGTACAGACTGTGATCTCAATCAGATCAAGCGCTATGGTTTCGCACCTCTTAAGAGTGTGATTGAAGATGTTCCATGGCGCAGGGTCATCATTGATCTGGTTGACCTGCCCACGTCCGGGCACACAGGCGACCGTTACGTATGCCACTTCTTTGATGTGGCGTCACGGTTTAACTTGCTCTATCATTAAAGGATAAGAATACGCAGACCGTAGCAGAATTATGTTGCCAAGTCTTTGCTGACCACGGGTGGCCAGGTATTATGTGTACTGATAACGGTAGTGAGTTCTGCGATGACGTAATGGAATCGCTAGTACTCGTATCATGCATATGCCATAAGAGAGGTGTGCCATATAAGCCGCAAACGCAAGGCGCGAAGAAAACGGGCCATAGAAGACTTAAGTTCTTCTTGCGTACTGCATTAACAGATTATGCAGATGATTGGCCGTACCACCTTAAGTGGGTACAAACACAGATGAACGAGTGTGCTGATCCGGTTACAGGAACTACACCCGCTCACTATTTTTGTGGCAAATATAGTGAGATACAAATCCCCTTCAACAAGGACGAACCTGATCAGCCCCCATTACATTCTACATGATGCGAAACAAATAATATATTTCAATTACTTTAGGATTCAGATATGGTTTCTTGTAAAACAATCGCCCACTTCCATTTAGTTTAGGATACAGATGCAGTTTAGCTACGTACTTCGTATACATCATGTTGGCAATCATGCTTGAATATATAAAGGTAACATATACATCATGTTATCAATCATGTTTGAATTAGTTGAGGATTGAAGGGGTGGGGAGGGGTGGGGGGGCAGCCCCCTAACATACTACATGATGCGAGACGAATAATATATTTCAATTACTTTAGGATTTCAGATAAAAACGCTCATTCCCCCACTACATATTATTTATTTATGTGATGCGAGACGAATAATATGTTTCAATTAATTTCGGTTACAGATAGGGTTTTTGGGGAAAAAAGGGGGCCACTCTTGGCTTGTTTTTCTGAAAAAAAAACCCCGGTTCCACTTATGTTAAATGTACTGCCAATTGTTACCCAAAACATTGGCCTTTTACGTTACCCAAAAAATTGGCTTTTTGCATTTTAACCTAATTATATCCGTTACGGATTGTATATTTACGTTTTATACGCAAACTTTAAAATCGAGTGCAACGGCTTCTGATTCGTTGATATCGTTTCTTTTGAAGGGGCCTTTTTATTGCATTTTCGTACCAAACGCGAATTTGGAATCGGGGACTTTATATACGCAAATAGCGTGACAGACAGGCGGACAAAAATGCAATATAGTCTGGAGGGACTTACAAGCTTACGCTTTCAGTGATAAATATTTAGAACTTGAAGTCTACACTCTACAGTCTACTCTCTAGTAGAGTCGAGTCTCAGAGATTGGTATTTATGGGTATTCATGTTTGTATATATGTATGTATATATTTAGGCTGTTCGGATGTGCTTATTTGGTTTAGAGATCCCCCCCTTGGATTTTGGACTTTTGGCAATTTAGTGACTTATAAATCTGGGTGCATTTTCTAGACATTTGGTTTAATATTGACCCAAATATATTTGTGAATTTTGAAAAAAAATATTATAAATCGCGTGAAGTGTTGACCGTAGCCCCTCTAGCACTGCTATTGGTAGAGGGAAATTTTCTGCGCGAAAAGGCTGAGCAGGTCGCCAGCAAAAATTGGTACCATTATATGGATTATGATTGGCCCAGAGGTAGATACAGATCAAAGTTGTATTTAAGTCGTTAGTCCCCCGCCCCCCCTCGACTTTGGACCACCAAATACCTCTAAACCAAATAGGCACATCCGAACCCGGCGAACCGCCTTAGATTTTAGAAGTAGCTGTAGAACAGTAATATTGTTTTATATTTATTTTAAAAAACAAGCAAAATAAAAAATATGTATAGAGCATTTACATTTTTTTACGTCATAAATATGTAAAATGTAAAAATACAGATATTTACAAAGCTGCCTTACTAGTTTTATACATATAGCCTTTTAAGGTTTTATCATGTGAGTAAATAGATATATATATATCTACTTTTACAGATCCGAGCCTTCCTAGGGCGCGTCGTGTTTTTTAAATTTTGTTTACTTTGCAGTTTGTATTTAAAAATACCGATATAGTATAGACTATAGTCTATAATATAAAAACTGTACAAACCAGCTACAGAACTTACTCAAAGAGTGCACTCCTGCCACTCCAGAGCTATGCAACTTGAATTCTTTTAAAATTTTACTGGTCTTTAAATTAATATGCGGCACGCGCGGATCAGTGGTTAGGAAACTGCTACTTGAATTCTTATATTTAACTTGAGGATGGCTTCGTATAGTGTGTTTAAATATTGTTAAATATACGTCTTCATGCTAATGTCTACACTACTGACAGACTGACATCCTTATAGTTCGATAAAAGCGAGAACTTCGTTCATTCAATTTTCATTTAGCGGAGCACTCTCGAAAAGTACTTCGAACTTTTACAAGAATCTACTTGACCTGAAATTGAGCTGCCCCTTCGGTGTCATTAGTAAACTTGTTTACAAATAAGGTGCAAAAATCAACATCTGTCGCCTCAAGTGTTACAATGTTCAAAACAGCCACGGTCACGACGCTGCTTCTTATTTCCAGCTATTTGGCGGGCGTGGATGCACAGGCGCCGCCGCAGGATGGAGGTGGAGCTCCACAGAACAACAACAATGGCAACAACACCAACGACCAGAGATGCCCACTACAGGACTTCGACTATTCATCGGATGAGTTTGTGTGCAATATGACGATCAACTTGTATGACATCACCACTGAGGCATTCAACACTGTCCAGCAGACGTATGTCTATGCAATGACTCCCTCAGAAGACAACGAATTCGCATTCTCGCTCGTCTATAATGACGAGCAAGCTGTGTGTATCTTCTCACAGGTGCCCTCGCAATCATACGAAGCAGTGTGTGCTGATGTAAAAGACGCCTCTTCGTTATCCCTGGTATTCGAGCAAGAATGTTCACCTACTACCATGTATGTCACAGGCTCTGGACCTGGATCTGGTGCTTTTGGCTTCCCAGTGGCTCTATCAGCGTCTTGCACCAGGAGTGTGAACGCGGGGTAGACCCAACGAGGGCAAGAGAATACACAGCCGCAACAATCGCAGCAGCCATAGTAGGATCAGTAGATACTGTAGATTGTCAAGTAGTGTATAGTCACTGGTACAAAAAGATAAATCGGTAGGAAGGTCTATCTATTAATGCACGACGACATAGAAATATAAAAATATAGCTGACTATTCGCACAGTCAACATACGGGAAGAAATTATTTTCTTTATTTTTCAACATCAAAGATGAAAGGAAGATAAGGTTGATTTTTCCTTTACAAGAAAATAGGATAAATAAATATTTGCGCCTGAGACCTATAGAAATTACAAAACTTCGTGAAAACTAGGGCGTAGCTTCATTCTCAAACACGCTAGAATATAAAAATACGATATTAGTGTAAAAAAGGTATAACTGCTTTGTAGCATGGGCGTAGACGGACTGAGGCATCAAGAGGTGGATATGCAGAGTGTATCGGTGACCATGTGATGTCAACAAGGCGCACACTTCACTGTCATTCGTCCTCAAAGCGAAAGAAAACATTGCATAACAGACGCGTCGTTCTTAATCACACTCGCATAGTCACGATGCTGCAAGAGAAACAGAAACGCAGCCTGATATCGCTAGAAATATTCCAATACATTCAGCTGAAGGAGTTTAACACTGACACCTTGAAGGAAGTTATAGTAAGTGTATTCACAGCTTATAGTCAACAGTGCACTAGCAAATTTGGTTGCTTTCCGACCTTTGACTTTGATGGACAGACGCCGCCATTGAAGTTTGCAGAGCATGGCAGCAGTATGCAGGAGTATGAGACTGCGTTCGAAACGTGGCAAGGCCAAGAACGTACAGGGAAATCGCTAGACAGTCGAGGTGTGCCAATGAAAGAAGACATCAAAATGGTGGGTACGTGCACGTACAAAACGTGGGAAATGAACCGAGTGGCTATTGGATTTCGTGTTACGATGCGTTATGAACGATGGATTGCACCGTATGGAGCAGACGGACCAATTTTTTATTTGTGTAGCTCTCAAGTAAAATCCGTTACATATATATCGCAACAGATGTGTTCATACTATTAGAAGGCAATGACAGATGACAGATCGAATAAAAAAAATCAGAACCAAAAAGCATAGCCTCCTGAATTCAACAAAAAGTAATAAAAAGACCTTTTTTTTTAAACAAAAAAGAAGGACTAAATATGTATTAAACAAAAGTGTTCCACAATTTACACGGCACACGGCACACGGCGCCACAGTGAGTCAGTCACCTCACCCCACAGGCCCACACTCGCAGCGCCACTTCAACTCGTAAATATCTACCTTTTTTTTAAAGTTATAAATACATATTTATACGAGTATTGTGTGATTTAAGATACATTTATATGAGTATATATATCTATGGCCAAAGAGATGGCATCCCAACCAAATACAGAACAACAACAGAATAGTATGGCGCTGATTAGAGCGCCCTTACCGTTACCAAAGGTTAGAGGAGCTGTCTCGTTGTTGACGTACAACGTGCTTCTGCCAAACAGTCAAGATGGCTGGTGGATGTACAAGATGTACGCTCCTAAATCGCTACAGAATAGGTATGATGTTGATATTAAATTTATTCATCAACACGTATAACCCGTACACTTTAAAATTCTTGCTAGGTTTGATATTGCTGTTGAATACGTGCTCAGATTTCACGTATTCACCTGCACCCTTGTATTTTTCAGTTTGTGTCCGAAATGAAACACGTTTTATTCGAAGCCTTCCGACCCAGCTTTATATAGAAATTGTCGAATAAATTGGAATTGTGATTGCACTTGGATCGACTGAAAATTTAGTCAACTTAATCCATTTACAAAAGTATGTACAATTGTATAGACAATCATCTATATATATATATATATCTATATCTATATCTATATC